GGCGCCCGGTGTAACGGCGGTCTCTTGCAGACGGTGGGGAAGAGCAGCAAGATGCTGCAGCACATCGACTACCGCATGCGGTGCATCCTGCAGGACGGCCGCGTCTTCATCGGCACCTTCAAGGCCTTCGACAAGCACATGAACCTCATCCTCTGCGACTGCGACGAGTTCCGCAAGATCAAGTGAGAAGTGCGGCCCTCTCCGGGCGGTGGGAGCACCGGCAGCACCGGGCTTCCCCCGCGTCCCGCCCCCTCTCCCCAGCCCCGCTGCCCGGCCCGAGGCCGCCTGCCCGCACGGAGCCGTGAGGCGGTGCAACGTCTGCTGCCGGTTTCTGCTGAAATAAGTCATGGGTTTAACTCTCGTTTGTCAAATCCCAAAACTGCCGCGGTTCAGGGGACGCTTTGTGTCCATTCTTTCCTAATAACTGAAACAGACTTTTACATGATGCCGGTGTAATCACTGTCACAGTTAAGCATCATGGGGGGAAAAAAAACCCATGGAGACAATATGCATCTTGTGTTTAATCTACTCTGTGTACTTAGTGTGAGGTGCACAGAGATGTGTTTTTTACGGTAGATTCTCCCCTCTGGAGTAACCTCGTCATATATTCTATTGCAAATTCAAAGGGTACCATTGATTTTGTTTTTTTCTCTGCACTTTGCAATGTTTTCTTTCTCTTCACTAGACCTAAAAATTCAAAACAGCCTGAGCGGGAAGAGAAACGAGTCCTTGGTCTTGTGTTGCTGCGAGGAGAAAACCTGGTGTCCATGACAGTTGAAGGACCACCTCCAAAAGATGTAAGGACAATGAGCGCAGAGCTAAGGAGAAAGGGAAGGGACATCTGATAAACTTGCTTCATTGCAGGAGAATACTACTACAGTATGTCCTGCACTTCCCCATGTTGTTGTGACAAGGTCCAACAAATTTTACTGCAGGCAGTTCTAATGCCTTTGTGGGCTCAGACATTAATGGGACAGAGGAGGGCTGTGGGCACCCCTAGGATATGAGGACTTCTGTTTTGGCAAATCTTTCTTTTTGGGGGGGTCTGTTTTCAGACTGGAATTGCCCGGGTGCCTCTTGCTGGAGCTGCTGGAGGACCTGGAGTTGGGAGAGCAGCAGGGAGGGGAGTGCCGGCTGGTGCACCCATGCCGCAGGCTCCAGCGGGATTAGCCGGCCCTGTAAGAGGAGTGGGAGGACCATCCCAACAGGTGAGATGTTGCGACCTGCTAAAAAAGAGTCATCCGGTATATTCTGGGGTGGCTTTTAATTCTTGGTATCAATGTGATGTAAGAAATCGGTGGAGTGGAAGAACTGTAATCTTAATTTCTGTTACAAAAGTTTGAGCCTGGCGAGGCTTTTGTGGTACTAGATCCCCCTGGGAACTCTGTCTTACGTGACGGAAGAGGAGGCTTGAAAAGTGCAGCTTCTTGCACAGAATTCCAGCGGTATCCATTGAATTGTATTATAGATTTGTAGCAGTGTTTAATACATTAAGAGGAGACTGGTGTAATTTTCTGAAGGGATAGTAATTTAAATCTTGGTTATTTTTCAGTTATTAATGTAAAGCAGATGATGTGCTGTTTCTGTGAACCTGTTTCTTTTGTTTACAGGTGATGACACCTCAGGGTCGTGGCA